AAATTGCTATACGAGTTCTCCCTTAAATGCACACCATCAAGTCGACATATATTTGCTCAGGTACAGTTTCTCCTTAAATATGAGAAAAATTTAATTTTCGATTCCTCAACATCAACAAATTGAGTTTCCAATTCATTTTTTCACAAATAGAAGTAAAACAAAATTTCTTCTTTTGAATTTGCTGCAAAAAAAATAAAAAAAAGTTTTGAATTTAATTCTATATTTTATACGTGCTTCAATAAATTTGTTTGAGTGCTGTCATTGCAAAAAAGGAAACACTGAAGATATGTTCTTTGCACAGGCACACATACACACACCTCGAGTCAAAGACATGAAGTCACATCAATCAAACATCAAATGATATTTTACATATCCATTGAAGTGATGTATGTAGGCAACACAAAAAAAATGCAAATGTTTGTGCATATATGTCCGTATGAACCGAACACCGTGCCTGCATGCGGGTGTAGTTGGCATGGAACGACAATGTCGCCTAAAAATAAATGAAAACTTTGAGTCCTCGGTGATCAATATCGCCATGGCTGCAGTACAATGCAATGGGAAATGCAATATTAATGCCTGACACATATTCGACAACAAAGTACATGAGAGTGAGTCGTAAATAGTTGGGATCAAAATTCTAGAAAAAATCAATAGACCTAGATTTGCTTTCATTTTAAATCAAAATTTTAAAATGTTTTAGAAACACACAAAAATAACAGTGGCTACAAAAACTAACACTCAATATGATGAAATTTTATTATTTCATAACTTGTGAGTATTGCGATAGTATTTACTTATACAACACCCTAGTCATCTCCATGTGTGTGTGTGTGATTTATTTATGTACATGCATCCAATCACACAAAAATGCCCCAAAAACACACACACAAACACAAAAATTGTGACGCAAAACAACCTCGATGAAAATGTGCACTTGCAAAGATATGAAGTGATAGTTGGTTGGTATCGAAAATGCGTACAAAAGTGCAGGGACTCAATAAAAATGTGTCACATTGGGACAAAAAAAAAAAAAACAAAAAATGCACACGCAACCTCCGCACATTTACACCAGAGTGGATGACATTTTTTTTTTTTGGTCGGGGGCAATCGCCAAAAGACCTACAATCCTCCTCCTCCTGAAAAAAAAACCATAAAGTTGACAGTAAGTGGTTGTCGTCGTTGGCAATACCAGGAAAAAATACATCGATTTTTATTATCTCCAAAGGATTCAAAGCCATGATATTGTCGACGATGAACGCAGCCGGTAATAATTTTCATATCGTTGATATCAAAGTGCCAACTGTTGTAAATCGTATTACATTTTTTGATTGAAAAACAACATTTGAAGGAATTGGTTTTGGGTTGCATGTGTAATTAAAAAAGCGAAGCAATTCGATGAAGAAAATTAATTCCAATTTTTTACAAGTGGATAATAATTTTCCAACAAAAAAGTTGGAATATATATATAGCTATCAGAAACAAGCCAAAATGTTAATTTCTACTTTGGTAAAATATAGATTTCAGGTACATAGTATGTGATTTTGACTTCAAGTATTGGGGTTTCATGAATTACAAATTAAAAACAAAATTTTTTTTATTCATTTTTTAGAAAACTTAAATACTTCGGTTGACTTGCTTCAAGGTACCTTAAATTTGAGGATACGAATATTTTTATTTTTTTATATTTTTTCTATTTTTATTTATTTTTCATACCTTACGACATTATGTGTTGAGGTATTATAGGTGTGATTGGGCCAAGAAGTTCGTAACACCTCGAAATATTGGTATTTGGCACATCAAGTGGTCGATCATCACGTCTCGACGATCTGAGAAGATCTAGTTATACGTATGCGTCTGTCCACTGTAATTTGTATTGGACCTTAATGCAGGTCATGAAAGTCGAGTTCCAAACAAATGGTAATATGTTTAGGTGGATAAAATGAACCAACAAATTTTCTTTTGTTTATTTTATTAAGACATTAGGGCTTAGGACAGAGGTTAAAATATTACAACTTTTTTGTGAAAAGTTCCAAAATTAACTTGGACCTCCTGACCTGGATATTTAAGCAAATTTCGATGACATATGATATTAGATAGTAGTGTACACTATCACGTAGTAGGCTCACATTTTCGTAAAGTCCCCATATTTCTCTCGATATTACGTATTTAATGATTTAGAATTACTTTAAATTTCGTATTTGAAGTTCGAAATCGGTACTACATCCTGTGATAAAAAATGGACCACTTCTTCGTATAGCCCCCATATAAGGGGTTTCGTTTAAGAGGTATTTTTGCAAATATTTTTTTACTTTACTCATTACGAATCCAAATATACGGAACTGCAATTAATTCAGAGGAAAATCACGCTAAACACATAAATATCTAGCATTTTTGAGTGAATGTTTTAGACCGAATGGAATGGATCAATGTCGATATAAATATATCTAATTTTGTTTGGAAATTTTGTCGGAATCTTGAAAATAGATGTAGCCATATAAGGCTGCAACAAATAATGAACATATGTTGGACTTTTTTTTTTTCTGAGAACCTAATTTGTCAAACTGTTGTAACAACCATTAGAAGCTTCGAAAATAGCTGAAAAATATTGGGGCTATAATAAATAATGGGCCTATATGAGAAAAATGTTGCAAACAGTAGTTCCACCTCTATGTCAAATCGCAGCTGATTCGGTTGAAAATATTATAGGAAAAAATGGGTGGGGCCTTCAAATCACCAAAAGACTTTGATCAGATGGAACATTGTCTACCGTTATATGAATGGCATACCAAAACCATGACTTTCTCCACCATATTAGGGGGGGGGGGGGGGGGGTTTGGGTATATTAGCTTTGTCATTCGAGCGAGGAACCTCATTTTGAAACCTTTGTTGGTTGGTTGACACGTGCTGAGGGCGATAGTGCTGAGTCCTGTTGGAATGTCCAAGTTCTGCGGCCTATATGTGTGCGTACCCAATACACCCTCCAGAATATTTTCGCGATAATATTCGGCATTTATTCTTATGCCAAGGTCGATTAACACGAGCGGAGAGCGACCATCGGCTGTTATGGCGTCCCACACTATCACCATGGCCGGCGTTTGAGTTCTGCTGGCCACCCGAACTCATTTTTCAGATGACCTCTTTGGCAAGTAAACACGATCATTTTGTTTCTTTACAAACTACTGGACAACGAATGTTTTCACATCGGAGAAAACAAAATCGGCCAAGGTTTGAAAAATGTGGGAAATCAGAAATTACTAATTGTTGATTGGTGTGATAGATCAGAAATTGCAATGCTTGAGTTGGGCGTTCGGTGTGGTAGCGATTAGAAGGTAATCCGAAACCTGAGGATAGTTCCCAGATGCTGATTTATGCGGAAGATCGGATAGCAGGAAAAATTACGATGTGGCGTTCAGGATGTTGACGTTGAAGTTATAGTAGTCGGTTGTCGACGGGTGGTATGTCACCAGAGAAAACAGGATGTTGACGACTTGTTGGTAATCCGGTCTTACTATGCAGGTGGGTTGGATGTTGTTGTGCAGGTCTTCGTAGGCGGTTTGGGAACTTGCGGTATAATCGTAAGCAGTTCACTATGGGGATACTCGGGATCAGTTACCCAGGTCTTCTTAGGCGAATTGAGATTTGTTCTAGTTTGGCAGCTCACTGAGTTTAAGTTCGATAGCCGGTGTGTAGTCTGGTGGACCAGAACTCCTTCGGATTCGGCAGCTCACTGTGGATGTGCTTGGCACCCGATTTATAGGCCATCACAAACAAGATATCAGATATAGCTCAGAAATAAGTGTTTAAAATTTTGTCAATATCGTTTCAGATTTGGATACAGCTCCCATAGATATATTTATCCGATTTCAGGCCTTTTGTGTACCAAATGGCTAATATCAATCCAAATGGACTGAATTTCGGCCCGTCCGACTTTTGACCTTTCCTTACTGGTTTTAAAATAAAAAAATTCCATTTTTCAATATAACTTTCTCAAATTCATTAAAATCTGCGGATGAAAGCTATATTAACTTGTTAAAGTTTTTCCAGTCCTCTTTACTGTGTGTTATTATGAAATTACGAATCGGAATGAATGATAATCATTACAATACCTCACTCCTTAATAAATTTCGTAACACACCCTAAATATGAACGAATACATTCCAGTTAAAAAAATTTGCTGTTAATTAAACAAACAGTCTATATTTAAATAAAACCCGGACTCTCCCCTCACTTCTCCACCTTCCTTCACTACTACCACCATTGCCACTTTATATTTTATTATTTATATACTGAAAATGATATATATTTTTTAAAGTGTGTGCTAAAAAACGGGTATGTTCATATTTTATTGACATGTGTATGTGTATTTATGTACTATGTGTGTATGATAATAATAATAATAATATTTGTTATATTACGACACACCCTGACTGCGTAAGGGGTGTAGTGGGAAACTCCATTGTGAAAAAAACAACATTCCATTACAACCACCAAAAATGTAGCTAAAGTATTTGGCTGGTCTTGTTAATGTGTGCTGTCATCGGGTTTATTGGTATTAGGCTCTTGGGCAAGGCATTGTTAAGGCCACCGATATAAAAATACATTTAATGTTTACTTTGCTAACAGCTATACACACAATGGCAGCAGCAGCAACGGCAGTAACGATGTCAAGTAATATATTTGAAAAGTGCCACCCTTTATTGACAACCAAAAAAAAAAAAAAAAAAGCCAACAAAACAGGGAATAAAACTCAACATGTTAATGTCATCATTACGATGTGGCTTGGTTGGCTTTATTGTGGCAATATTTCGCAAAACGTAAAGTGTCCTGAAAAAGTTCATTATTTGAAATGATGATTATATTTTTGTGATAAAATTTTATGTAAATGGAAAAGAAGAGAAAAAATATAAATAACCTGTTGTCACTCATTTTAAAATGTTTTAACCACCAATGAATGGCCTTCATTATGATAATGTTTGGAATTTTTTTTTTTTTTTCAGCTTCTCTGGAGGGTGCTTCAAAGCGATTTTTCACAGATTTTTTACAAGATCTGCCCACACCAGGCACCGGCGGACCAACATTCGACACAACGGTACCATCAAACATAACCGGTCTGGTGGGAAAAACGGTCAAGCTGACATGCCGTGTAAAAAATCTAGGCAACAGAACGGTAAGTTATCTGCTTTTTCATATTATACTTAATAATATTTATAATTAGTTTAAGCTATTAATTAATGATGGTCAGTAATGGGTGGGGGAGTTTCGGTTTAAAATTTGTTAATAAAAAAATGATTCATATTGATGGGGGAATATGAAAAGTTTTCAAAACACAATTGCAGTTAAAGGCTAGTTTACACATCATGTCATATGTAAAGCGATTTTTTTTATAAAATTTTATAACCTCCACCATAGTATATTTGTAACACCTCGAAATATACATTTTAGACCCCACAAAGTATATATTCTTGATCAGCATAAAATTCTATGTTGATTTAGCGATATCCGCCCGTCTTTGGAAACCACTCTAGCTTCCAAACGAATTGAAGTATAATGATAAAATTTTACTCAAATGTATATTATGTCTGCAGGACTCTTGGTATTGTTTGTTTACGTTTTGGTATAGCCGTCATATAACGGTACCTTCTGATATTCTGTACTTTGTTGATTTTAGCGAGATTATTCACCGGAATTGTTTCAAATTTGGTATTTGATGTTCGTAATGGCTGCTATAGCCTGAGACAGAAAATTGTCTGTGCAGGCCCACGTCTTCGTATAGCCTCCATATAATGGTATATAGTCCCATTCTTAGGTATTTTGTTCATCTTAGGTACATTATTCTCCCAAATTTTTTTCAACTTTAGCATATGGATATTTTAATGGCTTATGACAAAAGTTGGCTTTGCAGGTTCATGTCGTCGTATAGACCCTAATATAACAGCTACATTCAGTATTTTTAGGATTTTAACAGAATTTTTGACGAATTTTTTTTTGAAAATTGCTAAATTCCTTCCAAATGGTGAAAGGCATTACAACTTCGGCCCGGCCGAACTTACAACCTTTTTTACCCTCAGCCATATGGCTAGAGAGGGTATATATCATTTGATACGCTCAAAACGTGCCTAGTCGAAATAATGGCTTTAGACCCTAGGTCTCTTTGGACCAAATCCGTTTCAGAACATTTGGAGTCGATCTAGCGATGTCCATCCGTCCGTCTGTCTGTCTGGCTGTTGCGCACTATAACTATCGAAGGGAGTATCCGATTTCATCCAAACTTGGTACGTCGTAATATTATTTTCAAATTTTGATCGAGTTCGGAGATGGGCAATATCGGTCAACTTTGCAAATCCTCATATTTACGTCAGTACTACGTCAGGTGCGAAAATGGAAAGTATCGGTCCACTACATCAAGTACTACCCCACAAACGGTCAACATTTTGAATAGTTACAACTCTTATTAAATTTGATGTTAGAGTGCGATTGTCTTCAAATTTTACACATCCCAATATTTTTATCAACCCAATGTCTGATGTTAATAGGGAATATACCGGTCCGCTCCTTCTGGTACCTCCCCCACAAAAGGTCGAAACTTTCAAAAAAAAAAAAGAATATATTTTTTCTGCACAGAAAGAGAAAGAATAATCCGATTTTGCTCCAACTTTGCAAATCCTAATATTTGTGTCAGTGCTAGGTCAGGTGCAAAAGTGGACAATATGGGTCCACTCCATCAAATAAATCCCCAACAAAGGGTCAAAATTTTGAATAATTACAACTCTTATAAAATGTAATTTAAGAGTCCGAGTTCAATTTTACACATCCCAATATTTATGTTAACCCAAGGTTCTGTGTTAAGATGGAATATATCGGTCCACTCCTTCTGGTACCCTCTCCCCCATAAAAGGTCGAAATTAAAAATTAAAAAAAACGAACAAAAAATATGTTCTTCACAGAAAGAGTAGCAATAATCCGATTTTGCACATCCTAATATTTGCGTCAGTTTTAGGTCAGGTGGGAAAATTGACAATATCGGCCAACTTCACAAGTGCCTCTCCCACAAAAGTCCAAATTTTTGAATAATTATAAATCTTATAAATGATGATGTAAGAGTCCGATTTTCTTCAAATTTCATATAATCTAATATTTTTATGATCCCAAGATCTGGTACTGAGACGGAATATATCGGTCCACTCCTTCTGGTGTACTCCCCCACAAAAGGTCGAAATTTTGAATATCCATTAGGCTCCTAAAAAGCGATATCAACATCCGATTCCATTCCGGACTTGTTACATCTAAATATTTCCATCTGCACAATATAAAAGATGGTAGAGATCGGACCATTTCTTTTGATAGGGTTCAAGGTTTTGAAAAACAAAACGCCCAAAGAAAACATCCAACTCTCTTCACATTTCACACACACACAAACATTTTTTGCTAACACAAGATCTGTTGTGAAGATGCTGTATATGTGCGAACGCCTTCTGGTATCTCACCCCAAATGGTCACAATTTTCAATAATTTTATCTGGGTATTTTATGTATACATCTGTCGGCAAATCCGACCGATAGTTTTTTACATGTTTACTCATTTTTTGAATCAGTTCTTTTATGGGGTTCATTTTGTTCTTGAACAATATCTCTGAGAGGGTCTCCATGCTCCTCTTCTCAAAAAGTTTGTATTTGAGAAACTATGTTGCCTTTGGTGACTCCGTAGTATTTTTGTCTTCTTTGGCGTTATGAAAAATTTTTACAATTGTTTAATATTTGTTGTTGTCTTTTTTTTCTGTATTTATATTTTCCTTAAGCGTATTCAATTGCTAGGTAGGATAGTGAAGACAGGAATGGACAATATTAAGAGATTATTTTTAACTTGCATTTGTTAATGTGTTATTTAAAACGAGTAACTTGAATCGAAATAGATCTAATAATTATATTTTAAAGATTGGGTCAAATTTGTTAATACCAGAATTAAACCCCACCTTGCTGTAGACATACACATTGTTTGACAAAAATATATATGTGAACAATCTAGACCAAACCCTTCACAAATTTAGTACCATTCGAAATATACTACAAATTAGCACACAGACAAACACTCATACGAAAAAATCAATAACCGGTACTAATTTCCAACTAAACTTCAACTAAATTTTCAAATTGTTCAAGCAGTACTACGGGTGGTAGTAGTAGTAGTGGTGGTGGCATACTTTAAAAACTATGTATACGAGTTTCTTTTTTGTTTTTGTAGACCACCCACAAAACCCTTCAATTGCACCGATGAAAAGTACTTCTTCATTTAAAACCAATTTTCTAAACATGTGCGTGCTTGCGGTCATTGAACAAATGCGATTGTGGTTATTATTATATCGACGATGAAAAGGAGCAGGAACAAGGAGAGGACGATAAGAAACAGAAGAGAAAATGTTATTATTTTTTCATGTGGTCGGTTACTCGCCCTATCAACTGTGGCTACTGAACTAACCTTTTTGTGTGTGTTCGTTACCCTGGGCAAACTATGTTAAAAAGAAAACCAGTAAGGAAAGCTCAAAAGTCGGGCGGGGCCGACTATATGATACCCTACACCACTATGCATATTTAGTAGAGCTCTCGTAAAAAGGTTTATACAGGGCATTTCAGAGCTCTATGAGATATTTGGTACAAAATCAAAATCTATCTAATTCTATCGTGCATTTTACTATAGCTATATCTGAACCGATTTTCACCAAGTTTGATGTATTTGATTCTAGGCTGAATTCGGTCAGATTTGCCAAAACCCAGGACATTTGGGCTGATATTGGACATTTGGTGCGCAATCAACACGAAATTGGATGAATATGTATATAGGAGGTATATCCAAATCTGAACCGATATTTGTAAAACTGAAAAAGAAGATATTTCTTGGCTGCATCTGATACCAAATATTATTCTTGTATCGTACATTTTTCGAATTTGAGGAACTTAAAGTACAAATCGGATGAAAGGTATATATAGGAGCTATAGCTGTATCCGACCGATTTTCACTAAATTTGATGTACCAATATTAGCCATTTGCTGCACATTTAATTCGAAATCGGATGAAGATATATTTGGGAGCTATAGCTATATCTGAAACGACTTTTACTAAAATTGGTGTCCTTGCTTCTAGGCTGAATTTGGCCAGATATGCCAAAATTCATGCCATTTCGGTTGATATTGGCCATTTGTTGCACAATTAACTCGAAATCGAATGAAGATACATATGGGTGCTATATCCAAATCTGAACAGATTTTTAGAAAATTAAAAGCGACTACTTTTGGGCTTTATCTGATATCTGGTACCAAATATCATTCCTGTGAAGAGTATATTACGAATGTAAGGGACTTAAAGAGCAAATCGGATGAAACATATATATGAAGCTAGAGCTATATCTGAACCGATTTTTACTAAAATGTGTGTACTTGCTTATAGGCTGGTTTCGGTCGGATTTGCCAAAATTCATGCCATTTGGGCTGATATTGGCCATTTGATGCACAATTAACACGAAATCGGATGAAGATATATATGGGAGGCATATCGAAATCGGAACAGATTTTAATAAAATTAAAATCAACTATTTTTGGGCTTTATCTGATAACTGGTACCAAATATCATTTCTGTGGAGTGCATATTACGAATGTGAGGGATTTAAAGACGAAATCGGATGAAACATATATATGGGAGCTATAGCTATATCTAAACCGATTTTTACTAAAATTGGTGTACTTGCTTCTAAGCGGGTTTCGGTCGGATTTGCCAAAATTGATGCTATTACGGCCATTTGGTGGTCAATAACCCGAAATCGGATGAAGATATATATGGGAGCTATATCCAAATCTGAACCGATTTCGATAAAATTTAAAACAGCTATTCCTGTGCTCCATCTAATACCTGGTACCAAATATCACGGTTGTGGAGTGAACATTACGAATGTAAGGGACTAAAACACTAAATCGGATGAAACATATATATGGTTGCTATATCTGTATCTGAACCGATTTTCACTAAATTTGATATACTTGCTTCTAGGCTGAATTTAGTCCGATGTACTAAAATTCAGTCCATTTGGACTTATATCGGCCATTTGGTGCACAATTAACCCGAAATCGGATGAAGATATATATGGGAGCTATATCCAAATCTGAACCGATTTCGATAAAA